GATGTGCTGTACTTTGTATCTTGTGAGGCATCAAACCGGAGCAAACAAAGAGTCTTGATTTTTGGCTTCTTTGTTATTCCCCAGTCTGGGTGTATGTGTGCACGTGCCCACTACTTGCGCCCCTGTGCGTGTGTCTGCCGGGCTCGTCTGGTAGCTCAAGGTAACAGTTGTTATTGGGGTTTTCTCTGCTGGCATGTAAACAAAGGAGAACCTCCCCAGCTCTCCCTGGTGTGCCCTGCAGCCAATAGGATTTGAGGTCCCAGCTGAGTCCAGCCAGTAGACAGACAGGAGGGGCGGGACTCTGCTGTATGAGGAGAAAAACAGCAGTTAAGCACAAAGCTTTGAATCTGGAACTAGAAGAGACAGCACAGCCATAACAAAGACTCTCCTCTCATAACTAAACGGCACCTTTCACTGCTCCACCACACATAACACCTCTGGTTAAGGCTTAAAATAAGTTCACTGCCTAATATAAGCATCCAAACCCTATACAAGTTTAGTTTTCCCACATAACAAAATTGTGATTTAATAAAATGTTGAAAGTTAAAGGGAAAAATTCTGTATGTATATATATATATTTTTATATATATATATACACACACACACAGAGTTTGCTCTCAACCCTCTAAACGCCAATATACCCCTAAGATAAAAATCTAGTGCTGCATGTGAATAAAATTTATCTGATAAAACCAAACTAAAATCTTATATTTTAACCCACTTTGTTAAAATAATAAAGTATATTTGTAGCTGAAAGCTAAAACTGCCAATAACCGAGCTGTCAAACAACACGCTGTTGTATCCTAAAATTATGATGACAATATATTCCTCCCATTATAACATCATCCCGTCTGCCGTCCATGGTGGGTGCAGGATAATGCTGTGGGGAAGTCTTTCTTCAGAGGGACAGAAGGGTGTGTCTGAGTGGATGGGTGGAGCTAACAGGACAATCCTGGGGGAAAACCTGTAACATGCTATAAGTGATTCGACACCATAAACCCAGTCAGCTACAACGAAATAGTTTAGATCGTTCAATCCCAAATTTGGAGTTGTGTCCTCACTTGGACTATGGACTCTTTGTTTGTTAACTCCACTAATAGTTGCGGTCGTGGGTTGACTCTGGTACCATTTTGTGGATCAGAAGCTAACAAGTTTGGGAACCTTTGGTTTAGACCACAGTATATTTATGTTTTTTATTAACCCAGTTAAAGCTCTGACCTAAATCGAACTTGGAACCTGTGGCAAGACTTGAAAATTGACGTTAACAGATATTCTGTATCCAGTCTGATTGAGTTTGAGCTCATTTGTATAGAAAACATTGCATAATGTTCAGTTTCTTTATTCATTTGCAAAGCTGGTAGAGACATAGCTCAAGACTAACAACTGTAACTGCTACCAAAGGTGAGTCTAAAATTGACCAGAGGGAGGGGCTTAATACAATTGCAAAAAACACCATTTACTTTCCTTCTAATGAACAAGTATGTGCTACTTAAAGTAAAGCCTTAAAATGGTATACTAAAGTATGGGGCTTTAATGTAACAAAACTTAAAAAGTTCAAGGGTCATAACAACTTTCCTATAGCAGTGTATTAGAGACTGCAATTAGAAGCCTGACATCTGATATAAGGTACATGTTCACATCAAAAACCATCTGTTTTGTCAGTATGGTCCTTGTGTGTTGCCAATGTCTAAACTCCAAGCAGTTGTTATGCTCATCTGTCCTCTGCTACATCCACCTGTTCCCTATAGATCTAACTATGTGTACATTCAGGAGCATATGTGAGGGCCAGCTGTGAATTGGTACAGACCAGCCTTTTGTATTTAACTACAAGTTGTGAGCCCCCCCTGCACAAAAAAAAAAAAAATCTGTGACCCTTCACCAGTAATCCAGGTTAGACATTTAAGCCAGTAGTTTGATTTCAGGTCTATGTGGATGCCCCTGTCTCTGTCTATGCTCACTGTTGTGTGCCCAAAGCAATAATCATCGTGCCTGTTCATC